ATTAATTGAATAATATTAAACAATATTTTATCAAGAATAAATTCTTTTTTATTCAATGAACATAAAAGATAAGTCCATCATTAAAAAAAATAGTCAAATGAACTCTATTATTTTTAGTCAATTATGCACCCTACATTTGTAAATATTTTTTAAAAGTCTTTGTCACAATGTTTTCAATCTTTAATATGAAGAACATAGCCAAATGATTACAAAAAGTGATTAAAATATATACCTTTCCCCTCTAACTAATGAAAGATAGGCTATTTACCGATACTCATATTCTTGACCTTTTTGCACTTACATGGGATTTAATAATTAAATGACTGTTTGGGGTTACTTTCAGATTATATATTTATCAGAAATTGTACCTTTACTTTAAAAAGATCATATTTAATAGAAAAATAGTAATCAAACACCAAGAATATGAATAGGTAACAAATAATTGTTAAAAGGAATGCACATCATTTCATTATAGATATCACAAAAATGTACACACGATCAAACGATCTACAACACTTACATCTTTGACTTAGACACATTTCAACAAGATATTACACTATATAGCTGGCAACTAAAGATTTATTACGATTTATGCATTCCTTCAAAATGGTTACATACAATTCAAAATATTACGAAAGTTGTATATGTACATTGTAATTTCATTACACTAGATAGTCCTCGGTTTGTCAACTTCAGGTCTAGATCTAGTAGATAAAAGGTGCCTACATATTTTCTCTTATTCCAGAAATATATTGCCATTAAGCATTTTAAACCAAAAATATATTAATTGAATTAAGATTATGTTGGCATGATTGAATTCTGTGAATTTCAAAATGCAGTATTTTCTACCATTTCTATTGAAGCTGTCAAGTACGAGAAAAAGTGACATTGAATTAATTATGACGTCTAAACACATTTACCAGTTATGATGTCATACGAAGTAGGTTCTACGTTAAAAGAAATGTAATGAATACTGTGTGCTAAATCAAAAGTTTATGTCTACATGTATAGTTTTAGCATTAGAATGACTGTGTATTTTACACTAGCCCATAGCTTTACAGAGCATGTATTTTAGGTCTTACATGTATACTTACCCCATCCCCTTTCTTATTTAGGAGGAAGTCGATATTGAACAAAAGCAAAATAAAAAAATACCCTACCTTTATATTTCTATAAGAAGTAATTAAAAATAAGCTTAAAATAATCTACTATTCTACTAATTTTTAACTGTTACTTTGCCACAATACTTTCAAGTATACCTCCACCAACATTTAAAGTATGCTTTAATCATGGCGAAGTAAATTATGATATGATAGTACTTGTGTGAAGGCTTAACTTCATTTCAATATTTTATCTAGAGCCTATTTCAGAATTATTGAAAGGTATAGAGTTTTATTTATATTTTTCCTTTACATTTATTATTATTATTTTTTTTGTTTTGATTTAACGTAATGTTCTTTTTTTTTGGGGGGGGGGGGGGGGGATAAAATTTTCCTCCTCTTTCATTGTCAAATAGGAGTTGCCAAACTTAAACAAGCTAAAAGTTGAAATGACAAAAAGAGCTATTTAATTTTTCCTATTAAAGAGTATTTAAACCTGATTTTTGCATGGTTTGATTTCTAAAAACAAGTGTAATATCATTCTTTAAGCAAACATTATAAGGAGGAATATTAAAAAGAAATTTTATTTACTTGACAATTGAAGAATCTCCTTTCAAACACAATTTTAGCATTGAAAGACTACGTGAATCTCTTAATTATTTCATACGACTTTTTGTATTTTCTGGTTACAGAAAATGTAAAAATTAGTTTCGCTGTAAAAAAGATATCAAAGAGTGTATATTTTGTATCACTTTAAAGGGGGTCATTTTTCAATGGGGGTCATTATTTTATAGGACTAACATATAAAATAATGACCCCCTAGGACTCTTTTTCTACAAAAAATGATTTTTTTCTACGGGTGGGGGTCATTTTTTGTCGTTGAAAAATGACCCCCCGGTCATTATTCGATGGGGGTCATTATTCGTCTTTACACCGGCATGGCCAGGTGTGTTATAGGACCGAAGACAGCCAAAAATATGAATTCAATGCTTAAAAAATAGACCCAAGAAGATGCGATTGATAACACATAATGAAACGCTTTCTAATAATTTCAGTGTTGGTCACTCAAAATAAGCTTTCATTTTTTTTTTTTTTTATAATTTCAGCATGTTCTATGAATATTGTTACACAAATCTACCAATTTCAACAAAAGTTTTAGCTAGGTAATGTACTGGGGCCCATTTTACATAAGAACTTACGACTAAGACCAAAAACTTCAGATTATTGTACATAAAATTTTGCAAAATTGACAACTCTCTTTGAAATTGTTTGTGTTAAAATTTCTTACCACATTCCTTATAAAAAGATTTAAATAATTTTTGATATGATTTTAATTAAAAAGTTATATGAAGAATTAAATTTTGTCTTAAGTTGTAAGTCCTTTTGTAAAACGGGCCACTGAATTTTTCCATTTCTCGTTGTGACGTCATATATATAATCAGATGTGCACAAGAAAGTCGCCCAAATCATACAAATTGCTTACCCAGTTTTAATGACGTCAGCAAACCCGCGACCTACATTAAAGTATCTATACTTAAATATTCCAATGGTACATGTAGATCACCATGACCCATATTTTGGTTAAAACACTCAATTTTAATATGTTTAAAACCCAAGATCAGAGAGGATTTTCAAAGAATTAATGCATTTTCATTCTATCATCCATAGAGCCACACACAAACACCAAAACCAGTGACCCTGGAGCCATCTGAAATTCATAATTTTAGAAGAGGTACCTTGCTCATCATTACTATGTAATTTAAATAGTTTTGTTAGCACCCAAGAGCAGAGAACAAGATTTTCAAAGAAAAGAAGAGCACTCTTGCTCATTATAACTATACATTAACTTAGTTTAATATCCAGGAGCAGAGAAGATTTTCAAAGAATTAATGCACTTTCACTATAATGTATGATCAATGAACCCACACCCTAACACTAGAAACCCTGTCCCTTGGGCAATGAAATTCACAATTTTTAAGGCACTACCCTCTTCATCATAACTGTACATTAAGTTTGCTTGTTTAATACCAAGGAGCAGAGAAGTTTTAAGAGAAATTATGTACTTTCACTATATAATCTTAACAACCCAATCCTAGCACTAGAACCCCAGACCCTGGGGCCATGAATTTCACAATTTTGGTAGAAGACTCAGTGCTTATTACAATCATGCCAACACTTTGCCTGCTTGATGTCAAGGAAAAGAGGAGATTGTTAAAGTTTGCATCAAATTTAGTGGTTCTGTCCCACCCCTCAGGGAGACTCAGACCATGAAATTCTCAAATTTTGTTCCCTTTCACCCATATATGCTTTACGCCAAAGAACTATATGCGGCATATTGCTTATCTTTGCCCCCACAAAAGTCAAATTTGAAAAATTCTTGAAATGTGCTGAATTTTATAAATTGTATGAGAAACATAAATTAACAGATCATATTATAGTTTCAAAGTAGTTTATTGACAATTTTTGTTTTTATGACGTCACAAACAAGTTCAATTTTATATCATTTTTTAGAAAGAAGACAAAATGGACAAAATTTCAACAATTTTAGCTTTAAAATTTATAGAGCCCAAGTTTGCTTAGGAACAATATTTACATATTTCATTGACATTATCATTCTACACATAATATCAAAATATTGAGCCTGATCAGATATGCACTCAATTACTTTTACTCAAAATATTGACGTAAAATATACATTTTTCTGTACAAATCATTGAAATTTTAAATTTACGTCATTTTCGTGACGTCATTTCAAACATATGACGTCATTGCTAATGAAAATATTCAGTGTTCTGAAGTCAGCATATATTCCCCTGTTTAAGAGCATAATTAAATATTTCTCCTTCAAAGTTTGATTTTTGGGGGTGGGGCAAATATTGGTTATTACTGAATAAAGTTCTTTGGTTGAAATTTGTTCAATGATTTCAGAGGAGAAGATAACAAGAGGCCCATGAGCCACATTGCTATCCTGAGCACATGGGCAAAGTAAAAACAACAAATCAGCTCAGTCTTGAAAAGTTTACTGGGGAGGGGAAGGGGGACTTGAATTTCAATTTCAAGTTTCTATTGCCTACCTTGACTGTGATTGGTACTGACTATTGCCTACCTTGACTGTGGGTGGGACTGTTGCCTACCTTGACTATGGGTGGGACCTTTGAGGATGCCACTCTATCAAACAACAATATAACTCATGACTTCCAATCATGGAAAGAATTTTTTTTAATGATTTCCTTGGGTTTGCCGATGATGACTGTGGGTGGGACTTAGTGATTGCCTCCCATGACTGTGGGTGGGACAGACTTATTTCCTAGGCTTTGCCTGCCATGACTGTGGGTCGGATTTACATATTTCCTTGGGTGTGCCTACCTTGACTGTAGGTGGGACTGACTATTGCCTACCTTGACTGTGATTGGTACTGACTATTGCCTACCTTGACTGTGGGTGGGACTGTTGCCTACCTTGACTATGGGTGGGACTGTTGCCTACCTTGACTGTAGGCGGGACTGACTATTGCCTACATTGACTGTGGGTGAGACTGCCTACCTTGACTGTAGGCGGGACTGACTATTGCCTACATTGACTGTGGGTGGGACAGACTATTGCCTACCTTGACTGTGGGTGGGACTGTTGCCTACCTTGACTGTGGGTGGAACTGTTGCCTACCTTGACTGTAGGTAGGAATGACTATTGCCTACCATGACTGTGGGTGAGACTGCCTACCTTGACTGTGGTTGAGACTGACTGTTGCCTACCTTGACTGTGGGTGGGACTGTTGCCTACCTTGACTGTAGGTGGGAATGACTATTGCCTACCTTGACTGTAGGTGGGACTGTTGCGTACCATGACTATAGGCGGGACTGACTATTGCCTACCTTGACTGTGGGTGCGACTGTTGCCTACCTTGACTGTGGGTGGGGCTGACTGGTGTGCGATCTGCTGACCCTATCACATGGCTGATACAGCTGTTGATGCTTTTCTTCAGCTCCTGATTTATAATTAAGAAGCATATTATATTGAATCCAAAAACTGATATTGTGAAAACTAAATTTTGCATTTGGTGCTAAAACTTGCCTGATATTCTTCATCAGTCAGACAGGCAAGAACTTTGGAATCACATGCAACAATAAGAAAATCCAGTCCTTGACTAGCCCATCTTAAAAGAGAATTTTTTTTACTGCTGAGACTAAATAAATGAAGTTATTTAATACATGTACTGTAAACGTGGTTATATTGACGAGTTGAAAAATTGACGATTTTTTGTTTACGAAAATTGACGAGTGTTAATTTTGACGAAATATTTAAACCAAGAGGTATAAATCGGGATACAAAGGTGGCGTCAGAATCACTAAAAATTATTTTTTGTAAAGACCATCTACGGTGTGTAAGATTGTACAAACTATCTAAGTGTGTAAGATTTGATTAAATAAATTGTCTTCATGTATTTTGTTTTCATTACAAGTGGTCAATTGCCTGAGGTGACAAACTAGGTCAAGCACCGCATGATAATTACGTTATATTACACATGCGGTATTTGATAGATTCAATACTTTGAAAAAATGTGATTATATATCCCTATGTTTTCATAACTAATTACAAAGGAAATTAACAGTAACTTTGATCTAGTTTTAATAGGGAAAGCCGAGAAAATAAAGCGGTAATGACACTGACAGCGGTCAATGTCTGTTGAGACGCTATATATATGATGTGAAGTTTGACGAGTGTAAATTTTGACGAGAAAAGAAAAATCGTCAATATAGTCAAAATTAGCACATCGTCAAAATTTCCACGTTTACAGTATTAGATTACTTTTGTGGAGGTTTAACTGGTTAACCTTTTTCATGTTGTGAACCCAAACTATCCTTGAATTTGATACAGGACCAGAAAGAAAATCCCAGGTCAATCTCTTCACTTTTTCAAATACGTTCACAAAATATCTCTACATGACATGCTGTCTAGTTAACAACAAATTAATAATATTCTCTTTGTTGTAAAATCAGGTCCCAACACCATAAACTGAGAACTTGTTAAAGTCAAGTCAAAATTTTGATTTTTGATATCTTCAGTTTTATTGTATGTATTTGCTTGAAAATTTGCAGTTCTGTATAACAGGTAAATTCAAACATATGATCAAAATTTTGACTGATTATCAAATTATTCAAAAGTTATACTGGTTTGAAATTTTGACTTAAATTAAGTCTGTTCTCAGTCTATGGTCTTGGGGCCAGAGAACAGGCAAAGACAAAAAAAAAAAAGAACCATTCATACTTTAGATGAAAAAGCTTTATTTTCTGGATAAATCAACTAAAGTCAACTTCTGCAGTAAAACTTTAAAAAGATGCATGGCCAAGATTAGGAGTCCATAGCAATAGCTTTCTTGTCACCCAATAAGAGATTAATTTTTCTATTACATGATTAGCTGACTTGGTTTGATGATTCTGGACATCGTGAAACTGTGATATGAAAAAAAAACACCCGACTGGCTGCCAGGCCAACCCCGTCTAATAAAGGACGGTAGGTTGTATCAAATGTATGTGAACATAACCCAGTGGTTGTGATGATAAAATAACTGGTAAACACCCATTTCAGTCTTTCAAATAAATAATTGTAATACTTTTAAAGAATATTTTATGACTGTCAGTAGCCATTGCTGTAAAGGGAAAAATAATCCCTGCATGACATAATCACTATTTTTTGGCCATGGTTTTAATAGACAAGTTACAGTTGTTATTCAGAATCAATATGGCATAAATTGAAACAAATATTAAACCTGCAAAAATCAAATAGTCACTACAAGTTTTTTCATAGTGACCTACTTTTTTGTTGACACACTTTACAGCCCCATGATGCATTAGCTGATCATTTTGACAATGAATGCCTGCAAAATTTATAAAGAATTTCATCATAACGTTCTTTTGAGTCAGCAAGAAATGAAGTCCTAAAATGCGCCAACTGACTGCCTTAATTTCCTTAATATGGTGTGCAAAATATATAGGTTTTAAAATTGATTGAAAGTAGTCCCAGCAATTGAATAATTGAAATGCTTATAAAAATGTCACTGAATTCTCAAAGAAATAAGGTGTATTTATCTATGGTTATTTTTCAAACTCCATTTTAGATACATGTATCCTTAAGTCAATGAGGGCATACTCTTCACCCATAAGGGTGATGCTTTGAACAATTTACCTATGACAATATTAATCTTCGCAACTTGGGATATATTTATGTGAAACCTTCCAAATTTCGGATACTTACTTTGGGCGCATACCTCTTCCCTTTTCACATTTCTCAGTTACAAATGCCATCCACTCTTTGGCAAAATTAACAAGTCTTTTGCTGAGTTTTTGCTTAGTTTCTCCAGTTACAAGTCTTGTTACTTCTCTAAGATACTGTAGTTAAAAATTTAAAAATATTCAGTTGCAATAATGATTATCTTTTGACGACTTATCAATTGTTGGTACCTATGGTTTGAAATGCCCTATTAAGCATAGATAAAATTCAGCAGCACCTAAATAAGACAGTCTTGGACACTTATTGACAGGATGTTTTAAAACAAACAAAAGGCTAAGGTAAAGCCAAGATTTTAACTTTTTAAAACTTTGTTCCCTTTTCTCTGCAATACAGCTTATTACAACATAATACTGGGGCTTACAAAAAATGCTAAATAGTTGAATATTTACATAAAATTTTACAAGGTTTGCATGAATTACTCTCTTTATTATCCTGCTTTCATAGAGAAGTGTCTGTGATAAGACTATATGAGACTTTACTTCAAATCCAAAATTATATCCTTTCAGCATTGTTTCTCTGTATAAGTTAAGGAGATGGTTTCTCTCATTGTCGTCAAAATTTGCCATGTCTTCACAGTAAAACTTGTCATCCACTTGCTTTATGGCTTGAACAACTCTTTCTTGAAGCTCCATTGCAGACCCCTAAAATTTACAAAAGAGATTCATACAAGTACATGTACCTTGCTTCTGCAGTACATTCTATATAAACTGTAAATTAGGTAAAACAAGACATCATATAGAACGATGAGTAATACTGTAAAATGAGAAAATTTTGGAAATACATATTTCAGTGGAATTGTATGTGGGAATGCATTGGCGCCTGTGCTTGCTTGTCATTAAAATATATAAATGTGATATTTTTTTCCTTTGGTCTATGCCTGTATTTGATTTTGAAGTCACTCAAGCATGCATGCGCAATAGCATTGATTTCTAACTCACCTACACAGGTAAAATTTTGAGGTGTTGGAAGCACATGGACGTGGAACAATGTCAATTTTGAACTTTTTTAAATAAAAGAAAACATGAATGTACTTCAATAATTGATTGGAGGCGATCATTGCAATTTATTCATATTAGAACCATGCAAAAGATACTTGGATAACTGGTAAACATTATCAGGTATTATATATCTGCAAGGTCGAGACCACGCCCTTTGCCCTAATAAACAGTGCAAATCTTAATCTCAAACATATTCTGATCCTTGTACATGTATGTAAAATTGGTGAAAATCTGCATGGTGGCTCTGGAGAAGAAGATTTTTTAGCAACCAGTACTTTGGTTTTATTTTCCTGATTATCTCCCCTTGTTTAAGGGTCCCAACCCTAGTTTAAAAAAAAAGTGGTAGCCCTTTAGCCAAGGATACCCTGTGACAAATTTGACAATAATTGGCCAATGAGTTCTTGAGTTATGGCCCATATTCTAACAAGAGGCCCATTGGCCTTATAGGTCACCTGAGCATAATGCAACAATTTCAAGTGATTGAATTTGCTTCATGTTTTAAGCTAGATGCTATAGCATTCACAATTTTGAAAGAGGCACCATTGCTCATCATAACTATACACTTTTTCTTTCAACATTTATTTCCCAGACTTATACACTTAGCAATTGCTTAGTTTGGTTACTTAATACCCATAGGCAGGGTAGGGGAACAAAAATGCATTTCAACTAATCAGTAATATTCAGCAATAATCAGTAGTGCCCCTAACATTGTGACATAAACCCCTGACCCTAGGTCCACACTTTGCACATTTTTTAAAAAGGCACCCTTGCTTATCAAAAAATAATGTTTGATTAATACAAAGGAGCAGATTTCAAACAATTAATTCATTTTCAGTATATAAGTAGAGCCCCCCCCCCCCCGTACCCCTGACCCTAGGGCCTTGAAATTCACAATTCTGGAGAAAGGGCCCTTGCTCATCATAACTATATAGGTAGTTCATCTGCTTAATACCCAGGGAGAGCAGAGAAGAAAATTTTCAAAGATTTAATATATTTTCACTACAGAATCATTTAGAGCCCCGGCCTACCACCAGAACCCCTGACCCTGGAGCCATGAAATTCACAATTTTGGTAGAAGCATTCTTGCTTATCATAACTTTGTACTTAATTAGTTTTTTTAATACCCAGGAGCAGAGAAGAAGATTTTCAAAGAATTAATTCATTTTCACTATGTAATCAATAGATCCCCCCAACACTAGAACCCCAGACCCTGGGGCCATGAAATTCACAATTTTGGAAGAAGCATTCTTCCCGATCATAACTATGTACTTATTTAGTTTATATATAATCAATAGAGTCCCACCCTAACACCAGAACCCCTGACCCTGGGGCGATGAAATTTACAATTCTGGAAGAGGCATTCTTCCCCATCATAACTATGTACTTATTTAGTTTATATATAATCAATAGAGCACCACCCTAACACCAGAACCCCTGACCCTGGGGCCATGAAATTTACAATTTTGGAAGAGGCACTCTTGCCCATCATAACTATGTACTTAGTTAGTTTATTTAATACCCAGGAGCAGAGAAGAAAACTTTCAAATAATCAATGCATTTTCACTATATAATCAATAGAACCCCGCCCTAAAACAAAAATCCCTGACCCTTGGGCTATAAAATTCACAATTTTGGAAGAGGCACTCTTCCCCATCATAAATATGTACTTATTTAGTTTATTTAATACCCAGCAGCAGTAATCAATAGAACCCCGCCCTAACACCAGAACCCCTGACCCTGGGGCCATAAAATTCACAATTTTGCAAGAGGCAGCCTTATTCATCATAACTATGTACTTGGTATGTTTATTTAATGCCCAGGAGCAGAGAAGAAGATTTTCAAAGAAATAATGCATTTTCACTATATGATCTATATAGCCCCACTCTAGCACTAGAACCCCTGACCCCGGGGCCATGAATTTCACAATTTGGGTATAGGACTCCATGCTGATTACAATCATGCAAACTGCTAGATGTCCAGGAGTAAAGAAGAAAATTTTTAAATATTGCATTAATTTAAGTGGTTTTGGCCCCACCCCTCAGGCCCCAGGGGGGCAGGGACCATGAAATTCACAATTTTTGTTTCCCTTCACCCATAGATGCTTTATGCCAAAATTGGTTGAAATTGGTTGAGTGGTTTCAGAGAAGAAGCTGAAAATGTTCAAATGTTAACACACGACGACGGACGAAAACGGATAGCAATAGAAGTTTACACACATCGCACATATGGCCATAACATAGCTCTTTGAGCCTTTGGCTCAGAAGAGCTAAAAATACAGCAACCCTTTGACATTATGTAATTGTGCCTTCTGCTTTACATATGTACATAAGTAATACCTTAAATCTGGAAATTTTTATGTCGATTTTATTTTGCAAATCTGGGTCAAAATACTGTTGATTAATTTTTACGTTTCAAAATTTTGCGAATGACCACTATTTTGTTTTCATTTTCTTATTGTTGAATTATTTTTAAGAAAAATATTTTTGCGAATGCAATGAACTCGCAAATTTGCTAAAAATTTATCTACAGTAAAAATTTCCAGATTTACGGTATATTGATTTGAACACAAAAAAGTTTTTAAAAATATTTAGAAATCCTTCAGCCCACAATAAATTTTAATAATTTTAAATTTAAATAAAAGGCCCCTGTGCCAAAGGCGCTAAAATTAATAGTGCACCATTTTTCCTTGTTTTCAGTATTGTAATAAATTTTAATAATTTTAAATTTAAATAAAAGGCCCCTGTGCCAAAGGCGCTAAAATTAATAGTGCACCATATTTTCTTGTTTTCAGTATTGTATTACAATTGTCTGTCTATATAATTTTATTTTCAGGACCATTCAAGGGGCCTCCTCTGCTTTTCTTGTGTTTCTTTGATAAATCTTAACCAGACTTAGTCCTCACTCTTGGGCTACATGTTACATACATGTATACATTAGTTGCTGACCCACAAGGGATTTTTTTTTCTACATTTTTGCTTTCTGAGCCTTTCTCATTAAAGAAATCAGCACTTCCTTATCTTCTGCTGTACTTTAATCATAATGTATACCTTTAGTTCTGTTAAGGATTCTGCAATGGCTTGATGACAAGAAGTCTGTTCATTTACTAGTTGTATTGTTTTTCCCATCAAAGACTCAAACTCCTTTCGTTGTTCACTAAGCTGAGATGAATGAATCACAACAAGAAGTAAACCTTCAACCTATAACACAAAGTAGAAATAACAAGTTACACAATGTCACTGCTTGTTGCAATACAATAAAAAATATATCTTGGGCTATTCAGAAGTTTACAAGATATAATCCTTTGATTCATTTTCCAATAGTAAGTTTGGTTCATGCAGGCCTATGGAGTCTTGATAATGGACCTAGGTCAAATCCCATACCCAAAGTAATCTAGTTAGAATAATCTAATTGTGTCTCCAGACAAGCCATCACCACAGTATGAATACATCTCATATACTTGCAATGTAGCAAATTGGAGTGGATGCACTCGATCAGAAATGATTTTGAAGAATACAAAAGGGGTTATGCTGAAAATAACTATCAAATTAATCAAAACAAACCTTTTTGAGACTGTTTATGCCTTTCATCCCGAAAAATAACCCATTCAAAGACAAAAATTCAACAGATCTACTCAACGTCTTTTTCTTGCTTCAAATTTACATGCTATGTTTACATTTGGAACCCTGGATTATTCATAGTAATTGAACTGAGTACATGTAAGAGTTATCGCCCATGTTTATTTTGCAACATTGCAAATTCACAGAATGAATTCTCTCATTTAACGACAATATCATTTTAACGATAGAATGTTCTATCTAAAAGTAATCTATTAACAAGTCACCAAGCCTTTAGATTAAAATTCTAAATAAAGTGCCATGCCACAGCATGATACGCCCATCAAAAAATTACAATTATCTTCAACAGTTTAGAGTGCAAGAAAATCAAGTCAAGATTTCCATGATTTTTCCATTCCTTAAAATATCTGTTTATCCATCCCCTGTGGTGTAGGCATTAATTATAACAAATATCACATCAATGATAGATTTCTATACTGATTGTGTTAGACAATTGTCAAATGCCCATCATTTTAAACAATATCAAACAAGCTAATTCAGAGAATTTGTGTCCCCTGCTTAGGGAAAAAGAGACCATGTGCAGTTCGGGGGTGGGGGTCGGATCCCCCCTAATTGAATTTGTAAAATTATTAAATGTATACATGTACACTGAAGCAAATAAAAAATGCCAAATGAATATGGATATAGATTGAAATAAAAAATGCCAAATGAATATGGATATAGAATTGATTTCTTGTTCTTTATTCTTTTTATAGAAAATATTTATCACACTGTAATGATGATTTTATAAGTTTGTACAAGCCAGACATCATATCTTTTTCATATCACATGATGCAGAATACTATCATTTAGTGAAAAAAAAAAGTATTTAAAAAAAAAAAAGAAGATGGATCATCCAGGATTCAATCCCGGGACCTCTCGCATGCTAAGTGAGAGACATACCACTACACCAATATTTTTTAATATTTTTATATTGTATATTTTTAATGCAACAGGCTGACCCATTTGCCCAATTCCCAAGGGATATAGATAACACCTGCTTGATCAGAGATTCTCTACCAGTTAGCTCTTCACACTAATCTCATTAATTTCTCTCTAATTTGACATGTAATTTTCTGTTATCAAAATTCTTCTTGACCAGTGTCTGATAATAACACTCATGGGAAAGGTGGAATTTCTCTAACATATATGACTGCTGTCACGAGAAAAGGGCCCTTAAGGTCAAATATTCAGAAATTGACTTTTTGGTGAATTTTGATAGCTGGACTCTTTTTAAATTGAAATATACATCAATTTTAACAAATATTTCATTTTTTCAGCATTTTTTTTTAGCATTTTAGTAAGGTGCGCCGATACAACTTTTACGTTACTCACTGAATATGTAATGACGCCTCCTGCGTTTAATTCAATTTCCAAAAATTCTTAAAATTACATATTATTTAAATAACCTCAATCATTCTGAGGATTATAAACTTAAGAAAATATTTATTTTTTTCTTCCAAGCGACTAGTATATGTAGCTTTTCCTAAGTGATTTCATATGTTATTACCATTTTCCTACTATTTAGAGCAGATCTAGTAATTTCGTTAAGGTGGTGTGGGTCTAGACAGAATCTAGGAACAGTTTATAATGTATTCAAGAGGGAAAATAATATTGTTTAAATCTATGAAATTATTTTTTTATATAAAATAATCTAGCTCTATTTATAAAATATATAAAGCATTTGTACCATTTAAACATTAGGAGAGAGAGAGAGAGATCCCAGAACATTGCGCGCTAAAGGGGCATCCCCTCGGGAAAAAAAAGCACATCGATCCCGTTATTTTTTTCAAAGTATAATTTTTGGATATTACTCAGCATTCATTCACAAACTTACATGCACGTAACTTTATTACCTATAACTGTTATGATAGGATAGACACACATGCATTTTCTGCATCACCAAAAAATTCAAATGAGAAATAACTTCAGATACGCCAATTAAGGATGTACAACACACCTACCCCAAAAAATTCCTGTCGTTTAATTTTCGTTATTTTTGTATAATTAGTACATGACTATATCTTTATATGCACATTTTGGACAAAATCGTTCGAGTGATTTTTGGACAGGAACTTCCAAAAGTTACCCCCCTTTAGTTGTTTACAAGGAGAGAAAATTTTTAATCAATGAACTACTTAAACCTTGATTTTAAAAAAAGCCAGGTTAGATATAAATGTCAAATTTCATTGGCTTATACCTTTAACCATTTAACACAAAAACATAGTCATCTTTTTGATGTACATATCATCAAAATAATTTTTAAAAACCTTAAACTGAAAAACTTTTAATTATTCAAAAAATTGCGTATTTTTCAAATTCAAAATTTTTTTGTGAAAAAACCTATCGTTTAATTTTGGTAAAAAACTTTCTTTAGGTAGCTGGTAGTAAAAATAATCTTCATAATTTTTTGTATAATTTTTGTACGACCAGTTTTGATTTAATAGCGGAAAATTACCCTCTCCCCCTTTCTCAATAAATCACGTTCCCGCGCGCCTTTCAGATGGGGTCCGATCACTTTGTTATATGAATCTACAAATACACATTAAAAAAAATTAAATTGGAATATTGCTTTTGCTTCAAAAATATATTAACTTACAAATTTAAAAGTTCTCATATGTAAAGCGTATTCAAATGTAGATTTTTAGGCAATTTTTGAATACCCCTATCACCCCCACCCCTTCCTTTTTTTGCGTCGCAGATCATTAGCGTTTGACGAAACGTCGTTTACAGTGCAAATTATACTGGTATTTCGTCATTTGAATCCCGGAGGTCTGCATTAGTTTAAAAATTAATGAATTCAGAATAAATATTGACTACTCTTTTTCTATGTATCAGGAAAAAATTACTGAAGGATTTTATGTTTAATGTAATTGCATTCCATATCACATGAAACCTGGATATGAATTCAAGTTTTGTTGAACTTGAATATGTTGATTTTTAATTCTATTTCTTTAATTTTATTCATTAAAAAAGGGTGTATTTTCAACTCTCCTGTGATATAAATGGAATAATTGTAGTTTCTTTCATGTCATTATTTCAAACGAGACAGTATGTGGCCGTGGGGATACATCGACATTTGCATAGATGTACACCCCTCATGATATTGTACGCATTTCTTTCAATGTCGTCGCTTCTAAAGTTAAAATGAAAATTCCGTATTCGTCCACATTAACTTCAAAATATCAAACATTAAACTCTTCATCTATTTCAATTTATATCAAATCGCACTTTGATATTTTTAAAAATCCTATAGGCTACGTTTTGTTTTGATTCGAGGAAATGCGAACCGACATTGTTGACAGAAAGTAAAACGATTTGTTGCAATAAGATATTCATAAATGCAGATAATTTCAGTACAAGTGGACAATTCTTTTCAATTCTATACGTACATTGTGTATATGAGGTCTATAGTATTCAATTCTCGGATTTATCAGGTCTTGCTGTAAATGTATCTGATTCTGTGAAAAACCGTGAATAAAGGGAGGAAAATAAACATCTCCTACGTTTATAGAGTTGTTCCTCTTTGATCAGTAAGGGTCTGAGAACAACATCGATTTTACATTGTAAAAAGTTTTTTTTGTCTATTTATTGTTGTTTTATTTAATTAAAGAAGAAAAACAATATTTATATCGTAAATGCACAAATTGTAATGAAGACCATTAATCGGAATGTTATATAGCCAATTGTACATAATGAGAATTTCGGCAATGTAAAAAAAAATTTTCAGAATAAAAAAAATGCTGCGCTTTGATCAAAAATACAATTTATTGTATATGAAATGAAATGAAATAAACATTAAGGAATGGTATTTTATGTCTTGCTTTTTACGGAGTTTAATCGGGTTAATTAAAAAATACTTATTGATTGAGTATGGTACGCACAATCACAGCCAAGCCCCATATCCCAATTTTCTTTCATGATTGATATACATCGGGATCGTTTTACTCGTCGTTTTGACGCTTTATTTTTGACGTAAAATTTGAAGTCATGTCAAACGTTCAATTGAAATCGCAATAATCTCCCCCAGTGTGTTGTACGTCTTTAAGATATGTAAACTTGTTTTTAAAAATGTTTATTCCGTTTATAAAAATTCATGAATTAAAAAAAATATATGTTTGCCACCTCCATGCAAGCAGGTTTTTTTTTATTTTATTTTTTTGAATATATTATTAACCAGAAGTCTCTGTCGATATTATAGCAAAGGAAGAGAAAAGTACTTAAGCAGTTGGAAATTGAAACTTTTCAACAGCAATAAACAGAATAATGATCCTTGATTAAGTCTCTTTATGTTCTTAGTGCAGTCTAATTGCATGCCAAATTTATATTATAATCAGACTAAAATTGTATTTGGAGTAGCATTTTGAAAGAATTTCACAGAAATTTCTATTTTTAGTAACCACGGCAACACCGTTCATCGAAATCAAAAACTGATGCACAGAATAATGTATCTTATTGTAGACTATTTGTGTGCCAAGTTATATTTAAATCAAACTAAAACTGTAGAAGGAGTAGCATTTTGAAAGAATTTCACAGAAATTTCTATTTTTAGTAACCACGGCAACACCGTTCATCGAAATCAAAAACCGATACACAGAATTATGTATCTTAGTGTAGTCTACTTGTGTGCCAAGTTATATTGAAATCACACCAAAACTGTAGGAGGAGTAGCATTTTGAAAGAATTTCACAGAAATTTCTATTTTTAGTAACCACGGCAACACCGTTCATCGAAATCAAAAACCGATACACAGAATTATGTATCTTAGTGTAGTCTACTTGTGTGCCAAGTTATATTGAAATCAGACCAAAACTGTAGGAGGAGTAGCATTTTGAAAATTGTTTACAGACAGACAGACAGACAGACAACAGACAGACAGACGGACGACAGACGCATTACTATCGCATAAGCTCTTCTGGTCTCTGACCAGTAGAGCTAAAAACCGATGCACAGAATTATGTATCTTAGTATAGTCTACTTGTGTGCCAAATTATATTGTAATCGGACCAAAATTGTAGGAGGAGTAGCATTTTAAAAGAATTTCTCAGAAATTTCTATTTTTAGTAACCATGGCAACACCGTTCATCGAAAGCGGAAACCAATGCACAGAATTACGTATCTTAGTGTAGTCTACTTGTGTGCCAAGTTATACTGAAATTAGACCAAAACTGTAGGAGGAGTAGCATTTATTTTAACAGAAATTTCTATTTTTAGTAACCACGGCAACACCGTTAATCGAAATCAAAAACCCATGCACAGAATTATGTATCTTAGTGTAGTCTACTTGTGTGCCAAGTAATATTGAAATTGGACCAAAACTGTGGGAGGAGTAGCATTTCGAAAGAATTTCACAGAAATTTCTATTTTTAGTAACCACGGCAACACCATTCATCGAAATCAAAAACCGATGCACAGAATTATGTATCTTAGTGTAGTCTACTTGTGTCCCAAGTAATATTGAAATTGGACCAAAACTGTAGGCGGAGTAGCATTTCGAAAGAATTTCACAGAAATTTCTATTTTTAGTAACCACGGCAACACCGTTCATCGAAATCAAAAACTGATGCACAGAATTATGTCTCTTAGTGTAGTCTACTTGTGTGCCAAGTAATACTGAAATCGGACAAAAACTGTAGGAGGAGTAGCATTTCGAAAGAATTTCACAGAAATTTCTATTTTTAGTAACCACGGCAACACCATTCTTCGAAATCATAAACCGATGCAAAAAATTATGTATCTTGGTGTAGTCTACTTGTGTGCCAGGTTATATTGAAATCAGACCAAAACTGTAGGAGGAGTAGCATTTTAAAAAATTGTTTACAGACAGACAGACAGACAGACGGACAGACAGACGGATATCGACGGACGCATTACTATCGCATAAGCTCTTCTGGTCTCTGACCAGTAGAGCTAAAAATGATTAAAGCACTAAGTTTCCATTGTTTATTCAAATAATTTTTCTTCGCCTGTCTTACAGTTATGGAGTAGAAACACAATAAAGAGGCTAATAATAATGTGAAAGGATTATCTTATGAATGGTTTATATACTGTACCCAAAACTGAAACTTTATTTCAACTTCTTATTTTTTGTAAGTAAATCAAAATTAAAATTGACATTCACATATTTCTGCACATTACTTTTTTTTTTCTTTTAATTTTTAATTTTGTTTCACTTGAACATAACATTTGTATTTTTCTTTCAAGGACCACTACTATGATCTAAAAGAAAAAAAAAGAATTATGTATATTGCATAATTTAATCAAAGTTGGTTAATTGTACTGTTCTGTCTCTTTTTATATATATAAACCCTAAACGGTGCCCGATTTTTCTGTGCGAAATTACAGTTCAGTCACAATTTTGACGAAATCTATTTGAAACTGGAACTGAATGAATATATTTTTACGCAGAAAAGGCATGCCCATAGGAATCAACTTCAGTTGTTTGTTTTTGGTTTTTTTTTGGGGGGGGGCATATTTTTTCAGTTGGGGACACTTTCAACAACCAAATATTCCTTGACAAGCAACAGAAAGTTTCTACGGTCAAGAAAGGTCACCTATTCGGCAAACCATTTTTTCCTTGTTATTATTTCAAAACATACTACTTTCTCGATATCTCAAAATTAAAAGAAATATGACTCGTTTTTCATTTATATAAAGGAGGGGGGTGCCCAAACTTGAAAATCCAACTTCGGCGGGGGGGTGGAGTAGGTTCAGACTTTTTGGGTAGGTTCAGACTTTATTCACTACTAAATTTCCTCTATGAACGGGAGCATTGTCATCCATAAATACATACTCATTATCTGGAAAATGTCTGGCTAAAATGGGCCAAAGGTTGTTGTCTAATATTTCTATATATTTTCTTGCATTTATGTTACCTTCTACATTAGTTAAAGTTCCTATTCCTCTTAATATACAAACACAAACCCAGATCATGATACTCAGATGTCGTCGAGATGGCGGACACACAAGCTGCGCACTGTACTTTTCCTCGTCTTTTCTCCAGATATAAACTTTCTTATTTTTTCCAATTACTATCTGGCTTTCATCAATGAACACCCATTTATTCATCTCATGATGAACAGTCCAATAGACGAATTTCACATTCCTAAGAGTTATCTCCTGTTCTCGGGGTAACGCTCATTTTTCCCACTTTGTCCTTTGTAAGTTACCTGTATATTTTTAATCTTCAAACGTTATCGGACAATTTTGATCTGTACCAGTATTGCCAGAGCATGGGGCAACATGAAAAGCATAGTGAATATATTCTTTCAGATTTTATTTCTAAAATACTGACCCATAAACTTGTAATGTAATTGAAGGAAAACAGTGTCTTACGCCGGTTGACCTCGGATTGACCCGCAAAGGGGAATAACTTTTGTAAATGTGAAAGTCGTCTATTTCTTCTCCTTGCACCATTTACAGCGAGCTTTTTTGTTGGCCTCACGAATAGCGACTTTTTTCTTGGCAACCCCTCGTTTGTATCCCAGCTCTTGAATTTTTTTTTATAGTTCTAGTACAAAATCTATGATTGTTTTCCTCATTTATAATACCTGTGATGTCTTCGTAAGTTCTTTGTCTGTTTTCTTTAACTATACGTGAAAGTTTGTTTTTATCTATGTCTGTAAACACTTTCTTTCTCCCTCTTCCTCGTTGATTTTCTACCTGTCCCGTTTCATCAAACTTTTTAACAATACTACGTATTGTTGATCTAGGGATTCCTAATATTCTCTCTAATTCTGATGTATTTCTGTTCTTTTTATATGATTCTACAACCATACTTCTGACAGACGTATTTAATTCTTTAACCTTGCGACCCATGTTGTTTATACATAAATTAAGCGACAAACAATGTAGCAGACGACAAAAATATTGTGTATACGTCATCAATTTTAGTATTACAACACAAAGATAAAAGTAGAATGGGAAAATCATATGTCTAAAAATAGCACTCAGCCCTACTTTACCGAACATGCGAGAAAACCTGATACGATTTGCGGGGAAGTGGCGAATAATTATGTCCCTTGACTGTATGTACTTAGTTTATTTAATACCAAAGAGCAGGGAAGAAGATTTTCAAAGAAATAATGCATTTCCCTATATAATCTATTAAACCCTGCTCTAGCATAAGAATCCTGATACTGGGGCCATGAATTTCATAATTTTGGTAGAAGACTCAATGCTGATTACAATCAAGCCAACAGTTTGACTGCTTGATGTCCAGGAGTAAAGAGGAAATTTTCTTAAAGATTGCACTAATTTTAGTGGTTTTTGCCCCATCCTTCAGGCCCCAGGGGGCAAGGACCATAAATTTCACAATTTTTGTTCCCCTTCACCCATGCTTTATGCCAAAATTGGTTGAAATTGGTTGAATGGTTGCAGAGAAGAAGCTGAAAATATTCAAATGTTAACACAAGATGCACTGTGGATGACAACTGACAAAAACAGAGAGCAATAGGTCACCTGAGGTGACCTAAAAATATAAGTAAGATCAAAGTGCATCAAATCTGGTAATATGTAGCATGTATCATCAATGCTTGTTTTTTTGTAGTAACTCTGTAATGAGATCTGCCCTAAAAGTTTAAACCTGCTCAAAAAATATTAACCTTGCTGTTTTTTGTTGAAATAGCATTTACTAAAACCTTGACTGGTACACTGAGACACACACTATAAGCATTGTTCAAACATCTCAATTTATGTAAGGCTTAATTAAAGCACTTGAAATGGAAATCTGTTTCAAAAGCTTTCACATGGGATGCTGACATAAAGGTTATTACATACATGGAAGCCCAACTTTGTTGAGGTGAGCTGAAAATGTCTAAAATGTCTACTGACTAACAAACAGCCACATCATTGAGCATTGCTTGTAGGGTAGAAGTAAGTAATGTGAGTGGTACCTGTATGTGTGACAGAGCAATTGCAGTCTCAGCTGTAGGATCCACTTTTACAACCTGACCAAACCACAGAGGGCAATCTTTAACACTGCCCTTGCCCCCCTCACAGCACACCATCAGTAGGTAGCCATCTTCCTTCAGGCTGCCCAAATCCTGCAGGGAAGCACTTAAGTCTTCTCTGCCACAAGTCACATTCAAAAGTTGCAAAATAAGGTGTCTGTTGTCTGCAATTCTGGATGGAATGAACACTAAATAACCTGGGTCATTGGAGGCAAAGTTTACCTGTAAATCACCATTTAAGACATGAAGAGATTACATCAGTATTTCTTTTATAGGAGTAAGAGGCATGGAGATCACAAAAATCTTCATAGTAGAAGATCATAGTGACATGCTTACAGCTTGCTGTTTGAAGACTGAATTTGTACTTATTATAATTTTTCATTTTGTTTAATTATATTAATCTGGTATACATGAAGTCTGTCACAAGATCATGGTATATTTGTATCACAAGATGAAACAAGAGGCCCATGGGCCACATCGCTCACCTGAGCACTGTGGCTACATGTAGGAAAAGTAGAAATTGGTTTATTATTAAATCAAAAAGTACTCCCATGACCAATCATGGATTTGCTATTATTGAAAAGATGATTTTTGAAGAATTTGCCTATATAATTCTAATATGTAAAACTTTGGTCGGCAATTTTGGCCACGCCCTACCCCCGGGGGTCTTAATTTGAACAAACTTGAATCTACACTACCTGGGGATGCTTCCATATAAATATGATGAAATATGGCTTTGTCATTCTTGCGAAGAAGATTTTTAAAGAATTTTCCTATATATTTCTACAGTCGTTTGGCCAGTTCCGGATTTTGGCCAGTTCCGAATAATTAGTAATTTAAGGACTGATAATTAATAGATTCAACGGTGTAAAAATAAATTGATTTCTATGGTAAGAAGGCTTATCTATGAGTGTTTGAATTATGTGAAGTTTTGATTTTTTGCCCTCAGTTTGGTTTCATTATCGTACTTGAAATGGTTGGCATACTTTTACAATGCAACAAATCTGAATCACCGCGACACGTAAGTCTGCAGAAAAACCTCTGTAGATGCATAAATTTTTCACATAAAACAACGTTCCAGGTATCAAAAGTAAGTTTGATATGTACTCTAATATATACTAAGAATTTGTCAAAAATAAATATTTAGAACACTGGAAGATATCGAAATATTTTCGTGTTCTTATTTTACCAGTTCCAAATACCCATTTTAAACACTATTATAAATTCACTCTTCGATGTTTTTTTCATTGTAAACGTGACTTATTATACCCCCGCTTGAAAAACAGGAAGAAGGGATATAAAGTAATGGGATGTTTGTCCATCCGTCCGTCCGTCCGTCTAGCTGTACGTCCGTCTGTCTGATATGCTCTGGTGTATCCATTTCTTATCCGCAACCCCTCTTCTACCACTGAATAAAGTTTAATGACGCTTCACAGAATTTAATGAGTCTTTCACAGAATCTTTGTTTAACAGTGCCAAAGTGCACCTATTTTATTTTTGGATCTGGTACATAATTTGGGCTCCCTGAGAAAAACATAGATACTGCCATTCTTTGAAATATTGAAAGGTATATCCATCTCTTATACGCATTTCCTCCCATACAATTGAATAAGATTTAATAATACTTTCACGTATTCTTTATTGCATTGTGACATTGTGACCTTTTATTTTACTTTTTGATCTGACATTTATTTCGGGTAAAACATGGAGTTTGTCTTAAATAATCATAAAGGAGGCGTGGGGTATCATTAAAATGAGCTCAGTGCCCACAGTACCTCTAGTTTCTCTTCAACCTTTGGAAATACATATAATTTATTGGTAAGCAATTAATTTAACTTTTCTTAGCAGTGCTCCAAGTTGCGACTAAAACGGTCGCATTTGCGACCCAAAAGTTGGTTTTGCGACTAGAAATTAAAAATAAAACGCATTGAGAAAATCTGGGCTGGCAACGTCCATCTTTTTATGATCGGGATCGAGATTTATGTTTTCAAGATTCTCTATCAAGACAACGTTTGAAGATAAATACTTTAACACACTTTACAAAGCATCGTATGGACTTAGATCATGTAATGTTATGACAGCATGCTGTAATAGTAGTCTCGTTCAACCAGACGCTCGGCTGTCTCCGTAAATCTCCGACAAGCAGTCTCTCTGCTTGTCGGAGATTTACGGAGACAGCCGAGCGTCTGGTTGAACGAGACTAGCTGTAATAGTTAAGTTAGATAGAACCAGAAACGTATAAACATAACGTTTCTGAGAGAATGGCATCCAAACATCGTAAACTTTCTAGAGTTTCTCTGACTTTGTTATTAGAGCATTTGGTCAATGACTTTCATATCACAATTAAGTGTTTTGGCGGCATTGATAACGACTTAGTTATGGTTAAGATACGTAGTCGTAAGTAAACAGGTAAACATGATAAACAATTGGCAAAGTCCTGTCTTATCAAGACTGTCAAAGTTTTATTTTATTTTGATTAAACTCTATTTCTAGGATCAGATTACTTGTGTTCTTCTGTGTACATGTACTATACAAAGGGTGGTTGTTTTAATAAAAAATTATCCTTCAACTAGCAAAAGATTTCTAGTCACAGTAATTAATAATCTTTGATTTAATAAAAACATAACACATGTGGAAGTTAGTTCATTGTTTTAATAGTGTTATTTACATGTTTCAATCATGGCGAGTGAAAAATTTGTTTGTGGCGACCAGAAATTCTGAAATGGCGACCAAAAAAAATTTTAGGTCGCCATTTAGCGACCTAAAAGTAAGTGCGACTTGGAGCACTGCTTAGGCATGCCAATTGATAACGTCTGGGACGTATATTTGTTAATTTAGGGTTGAATTGAATAAGAATCTCTGGGGTATCCGGAACCCTTCGGGTTATTCGTAACTGGTAAAATGGACACCTATGGTAAGTTGCGAAATAATTTTTTTTGAGGGAAGTCTGAACTTTTATGAAACAATATTGAATTTCACAAGTCATCGAACTACCTTGACAAAACACTTGGATTTTGATATAATTCCTAGTATATTTATAGCACCGTCGAATCGGTTTCTTATTCGGAACTGGCCAAATAACTGTATGTAAAACTTTGGTCAGCCATTTTGGTCACGCCCTACCCCCGGGGGTCTTGATTTGAATGAACTTGAATCTACACTACCTGGGGATGCTTAGATATAAATACATGTATGATGAATTATGGCTTTGTCATTCTTGAGAAGAAGATTTTTTAAGAATTTTCCTATATATTTCTATGTAAAACTTTGTTCGGCCATTTTGGCCACGCCCTACCCCCAGGGGTCATGATTTGAACAAATTTGAATCTACACTACCTGAGGATGCTTCCATATAAATATGATGAATTATGGCTTTGTCATTCTTGAGAAGAAGATTTTTAAAGAATTTTCCTATATATTTCTATGTAAAATTTTGTTCGGCCAATTTTGGCCCCGCCCTACCCCTGGGGGTCATGATTTGAACAAACTTGAGTCTACACTACCTGGGGATGCTTCCATATAAATATGATGAAATATGTCTTTGTCATTCTTGAGAAGAAGATTTTTAAAGAATTCTCCTATATATTTCTATGTAAAACTTTGGTCGGCCATTTTGGCCACGCCCTACCCCGGGGGTCATGATTTGAACAAACTTAAATCTACACTACCCCAGGATGCTTCCAAATAAGTTTCAGCTTTCCTGGCACAGTGGTTTTTGAGAAGAAGATTTTTAAAACATGCCATCAAATTTTTATCAATTCGCAATTATCTCCCCTTGAATGAGGGAGTGGCCCTTCATTTGAACAAACTTGAATCCCCTTCACCCAAGGATGCTTTGTGGCAAGTTTGGTTGAAATTGGCTAAGCGGTTCTTGAGAAGAAGTCGAAAAGTTTACAGACAGACAGACAGACAGACAGATGGACAGCTAGACAGACAGACGCCGGACAAAATGTGATCAGAAAAGCTCACTTGAGCCTTCGACTCAGGTGAGCTAAAAACTGTACCTTGTTTTTTTTTTTTTGCACCATTAGAAACTAATAGAAACAAGAGGCCCAGGGGCCACATCACACACATGAGCACTTTGGCTATGAAAAAGCAGAAAATTAATCAATATAGAATTGAAAAGTATAAATATGACCAATAACAGATTTGCTATACTCGAGAAGAAGATTTTAAAAGATTTTTTTATATACTGTAATCCAACTTTTATTCGCGAGCAAGAAATTTTTGTGAAATTCGCGAGAGCCTCGTGATCACGAATATTTCTTGCCGCGAATGGGTCCTTAAAGCCTCAATGTCTATCAACAACAGATCCAACAAGAGGCCCATGGGCCACATCGCTCACCTGAGAAGCTTTGACCATTCTGTTCTTTACCAGATTTCCCCCTTGTAATACATAAAGCATCCCCACCCTACCCCACTGATCATAATTTAGACATTTTGAAATCTACACTACCCCATGATCCTTCCATGGGCACATATGTTTCAGCTTTTTTGGCCCAGTGGTTCCTGAGAAGAAGATTTTCAAAGATTTTTCCTATATATTTCTATGTAAAACTTTGATTCCCTATAATGGCCCCGCCCTTCCCCCGGGGGTTATGATTCCTAAAATTTAGAATTAACACTACCCCAGAATGCTTCCACATAAGCTTCACTTTTTCTGCCCCAATGGTTCTTGAGAAGAAGATTTTCAAAGATTTTTCCTATATATTTCTATATAAAACTTTGATTCCCCATTGTGGCCCCGCCCTTCCCCCGGGGGTCATTATTTGAACAATTTAGAATCTACATTATACCAGGATGCTTCCACATAAGTTTCAGCTTTTCTGGCCCAATGGTTCTTGAGAAGAAGATTTTCAAAGATTTTTCCTATATATTTCTATATAAAACTTTGATTCCCCATTGTGGCCCCGCCCTTCCCCCGGGGGTCATTATTTGAACAATTTAGAATCTACATTATACCAGGATGCTTCCACATAAGTTTCAGCTTTTCTGGCCCAGTGGTTCTTGAGAAGAAGATTTTCAAAGATTTTTCCTATATATTTCTATATTAAACTTTGATTCCCCATTGTGGCCCCGCCCTTCCCCCGGGGGTCATGATGTGAACAATTTAGAATCTACATTATACCAGGATGCTTCCACATAAGTTTCAGCTTTTCTGGCCCAGTGGTTCTTGAGAAGAAGATTTTCAAAGATTTTTCCTATATATTTCTATGTAAAAC